TTTTGATAATTTCCAAGTATTACCTCTTCAGTTACAGTAGATGTTTGCAAGTACACATCACCTTAAACACATCAACATCGCCAATAATAAGATAAACGTCCTCATGGTCAGACAGTTGTGTAGCTTGATCTGATTGGAAGGCTCCCTGGTGGTAGGATCAGAATCCATCCCTGGTGCAGGAGCGGGCTTTGTGGAGCCCACTACCTATGATGGGACACCTCATGCAGCCTTGAGGCAGGGAGAATGGCTTGTACTTGCCTCTACTGAATGTGCCTCCCCATGGGAGGCCTTGCCTTCTTGTGGGGAGGGAGTGGGGGATGGGTTGGAAGGGGAGGCTGGGGGGCAGGAGAAGGGAAAAGGGGGATCTTTGGTTGGTGTGTAAAATGAATGAAAAATTTTTCTTAATAAAAAATGATTAAGGAAAAAAAAAGATAAACTGCCCTCATATGCCATCTGATAGGAAGCAGTGAAGAAATTGCAGTGTCATTTCTGAGGCATTCTTACTCCAAATTGAATCAAACAAACCCAATTGAATGACATTCTACAAGCAGCCCTTCCACTTTAAAGGCATCAAAGTGATGAAACACATACATAGGTGGAGCAATCATTTCAAGTTAAAGGAGACCAGAGTCATATAACAGCTGTGTGTAATGGGTGGTCCAAGGTTGGGTCCTGGGAAAGGAAAAAACAAATTTGTTTGAAGGGCAGTTTTGGGGAAATTGACAAAATTTGAAGACGTGCTGGAGTTGGCTAGCAGTTTTTCAGTAATACTGTTCTGGTCTGGGTCCTCAAATTGTGGTTATAGAAGCCTTTGCTTTTAGGAAATGGACTCAAGCATGTAGGGGCACATGTGTGGTTGCTCCAAAATAGCTCAGAAAACAGTAGGGATAGAAGAGGCAGAGCAGAAGGCATCAGGGCCATCCAGGGAAGGAGACAGGTGAAGAGGGGGGTGGGAGGCATGATAAAGCAGGCATGGGGAAGAAAGCAAATGGCCAGCAGTGCAGATGCAGGGTACATGGGAGGTATTTGGACTTTTGTATCAGCTTTTCTGAAGGCTTGAGGTCATTTCAAAATAATGTTGGGACTCAAAACCAGAAAGAAAACAAAAGGAGCAGGGAACTGAAAAAGATGACTGAGTGCTCTGGACAGCACATGGGGTTTGTAGGAAGTGACCTTCTGGTGGGGACCTGGTGAGTGGGTTATTTGAGGAGTTTCTGATGTCAGTCTCTTCCATGAGGTCCCGGTAGCAGGGATCACTCATTTATTCTCTAGCCTGTAGGTATGGGAGAGGGTGGGGAATTTACAGTCTTCATGAACACAAGCTTTCAGGCCCTTTCTGCACGCACATTGTCTAGAGAAGGAGTGTCTTATTTTTTTGTTGATCTTCGAGGGCCTTAACTTTGGATCTCAAAGCTGGGAAATAGGGCAGAGATCCAACTGCTTCTAAAAAGAGGCCTTATACAGACTTCAGCCACCTCTTAGGCCTCATTTCTGATGCAATCTGATGTTGTCAGTTTCAAACTTTTGGAGGGAAGGGTTTTGTGGTATGAATTGAGCTGGTTCTCACATTCTTTGCTGCCAATTTAGGATCCTGTTCTTTTGGTCCTAAATTATTGGCTTTTGGGTTCCCAAAATTGTCATTCTGTTTTCTCCTCTTGCATGTTATCCTGTTTTATAGTTTAGACCTATTAAAAATACCACTTATTCTCATTCAGTGGAGGTCATGAATGTTCAATACATGATTTTTGCAGCCGGTCTGCATACACATCTCTCTGCATTCTGGATGACTTCCTTTGGATAACATCCCAGAAGTGGAATTACTGGGTAGAGTGTGCCATCCCTTTTTAGGCTCCTTTTTTCCCACCTCTCCCCACTACTCCCCTTTTAAGGCTCTTGATGAACTTTGCCAAATTGCATTTCAATAGGATTATGTTCTTACAAAGTTTCCATGACTTGACTCTTTTCCTGAAATTTTGCCTGCTCTGGGTAGGATCATTAAAAAATAACATATTAAAATGCTTGTTATTTTGACAAGCCAAATACTACTGACTTACTTTTGGCACAATTCCGCTTAAAGAGTGATTTTCTTTTCAGAGAGTTGTTACAGGTACAGGCAAGATGCAAAGGGATTTGGCTAAAGGATGACAGTGGTGATGGCAGGGTAGGGGATGGATTAAACTGTGTTTGGCAGCTGCCCTCCAAAGAGCATTATTGTTTGTGGATAGCAAGGAAAGGATCTTGGCCCTTCTCCGCTACCTTCATCTATGTTACAAGTAGCTCTGGTCCCAGGATGGACACATTCACACAAACAGATTGGACCAAAGAGATGGAGAGAAATGGAAGTAACAATGGAAATGGGAACAGTAATGTTTCTACTCAATTAATACTGTCTTCGACTATCCATCCTTTGGGAGACCTGAATCCTCTTGTGATACCAGATCAGTTTTCATGTGTTTCTCATAGTTAGGGCCATTTTGTCACACAGATAATGCTTTGGCATCTTGAGATGTTTATTTTGTTTTGCACAGCACAACCCTGACATGCAAGCCAACCTCTCTACATGGTGCTGAATTAATTTCTGCTCCATGAGCTAAAGTTTAAAAATAAAATAAAGTAAAATAATAAAATAAAATCAAAACCCGTTGAGCCAGCAAGATGACTCAGAAGGTAAAGGTTCTTGTTACTGAGACTGACAACCAGAGTTTGATCCTGAAGGCTTTACGTGGTACAAGAAAAGAATCGACATCAACATGAATGCTGTGGTACACACACACACACACACACACACACACACACACACCACAACATACCACACCACAGGATTAACTAATAAATGTTTTTGTTTTGTTTTTTTTTAAAAAAAACATTTTAAACTAATTTGGCTGGGCGGCAGTGGCGCATGCCTTTAATCCCAGCACTCGGGAGGCAGAGCCAGGCGGATCTCTGTGAGTTTGAGGCCAGCCTGGTCTAGAGAGAGAGATCCAGGACAGACACCAAAACTACATGGAGAAACCCTGTCTCGAAAAACAACAACAACAACAACAACAACAAAAACAAACAAAAAACCCAAAAAACAAAACAACAACAACAAAAAGCCATTTTAAACTAATTTTATACTTATAACAAAGATATAAAACAGAATGCAGAATCCATTTATACTCTTCATTCAGGTTGCTCATATGCTAACACATCACTTAACCAACAACTTTACTGACACTCAGAAATTAATATCAATAGCAGTCCTATTTATTGAATTATAGACCTTATTTGAATTCTACCCATTGTCCTACAGAGAAGGAGATGTGCACCCTAAAGGGTGGAGTTGGATTGGCATGATTAGTTAAGTCTTAGCCTCGGTGTTACCCACAGCTGGCTTGGCCAATACAGCACAGCCCTTGTATTCTCCTTAGACATAAACAATTTCTCAGATTGCCAACATCAAACAAGGCCCCTCTTTGACTAAGATGGATCAAGACAAAACAAGGCCACTCTGTACTCATGTCTGAATACAAACAACAACATGAACATTGTGCAGACAGAATGACCTTTACCATGAAGAAGCTAAACGAAGGCTGCCATTTTCCTAATGGACCTCCAGGCACACTTCATCTTTCCTAGCCTGTACTGTGGATATATTGAGACACACAATCATATAATTTCTTCCAATTCCTCATAGCATGCTGTTTAGAGTATTTCAAGTGAGCAGGCATATAAATGGGGTTTTATATCTCTTCTTCCCTGCACAAAAATCAGCCTCCTATAAATGCCCATGGTGCTTTTCCTCATGTGAGTTCATAGAGCCCTTCATCATCCTTCTGTACAGGGTGTGGCACCCCATTGTGTGGATGCACTGTAATTTATTCTGTGTAACCATCTTTATGGTGTTTCCAACATTTTGCTATTCTAGTGCATAATTGTTTATTTATCACAAATGATATGTTTATTATTTAATTTCAATGAATAACATTCCTGCAAACAATAACTTCGATATATTGATTTTTTAATATATTCTGACTGTGGCAGGATCCAAAGGGGTACATGTCTGCTCCCAGAGCCAATTTTCCCCTGGGGGTTGCCACGCTGACTCTAGGGTTACAGTCCAGGCCTGAAGCCATTCTCTGTTCACCTTAATGCTGTTGTCCCCTGCTTGGGTATCAAGTATGGTGGTATTTTATTTGTACTGAAATGTGATTTTATTTGTATGTTAATAAATAAAGTTGCCGGGGGTCAGAGCTAACAGCAAGCCATAGCAGAAGTCTGGCAGTGGTAGCACACACTCTTAATCCTGATCACATGACAGGCGGATCTCTGTGTGTTCAAGGATATCACCAGCATGGAGACACACGCCTTTAATCTCAATACCAACCATAGAAGATCTGGAGGTCTGTATAGATGGGCAGTGATGAGGAGGTCATGTGGTTGGGTTTACAACCAATGAGAAGGCAGAACAGAAAGTCAATAAAAAGGACAAACACACAGGAAGTAGGCCTCTTTGCTGAGGGGAAGGACAGCAGCGCCAGCGAAGTGTAAGAAAGGGTTTTTAGCTCTTAGCTAGTGCTCTGACCTCTTGGGCTTTTAACTCTGAATTTGACTCTGTGTTTCTTATTTAATAAGACTGTTCATCTACAATCAAGCTTTTCTTATGGTTGGAAATTCCTTCAAGAGCTGAAAGCTGATCAGAGAATATCCTATGTTCTTGTAATCTCAATTGGGCCAATGTATGTGAATAGCAGGGGTAAAGTGCATAGGGAGCCACATCACCAGGAACTAGCTAGGAGGCTGGTGCTCACTGGGCCAACATGTCTTCATTTCTCTTCCCATAATGAGCATATATGGACTTGGTAAGGCTCCCTGTACCATGTTTGCTGGAAGATTCCGTCCTGAGCCTGCTGGAGGGCCAGGCAAGGGAGGGAGGTGGAGATGGAGGCTGCTCAGCTGCCTTTCATGACTGACCCAGGTTCTGGATGGGAGAAGCACCAAAAATGGCCACAGTCAGACTGTCAGCAGCCAGAAGTATTTATTGTAGGGTCTCCTTGTGTAGGAATCAGAATTTCCTCCAAGATGTCACTATATTCTCTATAGAGAATGCCTCTGTTCTTTCCCTTCAAAAAAAAAAAAAAGATCATATCACTTAAAGAGGGCCAATATTTCTGCAAGAGTAAAGCTATTCCTCCCTATTTTGTACACACAGAAAGTGAGTCATGGAAAACGTAAATAACATGGCAAAAGTTACACAGTAACAGGACAGTCATGATTTGATAGCAAGCCAGTCTGTTCCCAGAGATCAGGACTTTCCTCAAAGACCTGAGCTCCAACAAAGTATTTATGTCAACACCAGAGAAAATGTTCAGACTTAGGGAAACCACTTATAGGCAGAAGTCACATGTTGCAAGACCACAGGCAAGAAGCTCAAAAACTGCCACACTTAACAAAACCCTGAAGCAAGCATTCTCCTGTGCTGAGTCAGACTTGTGGGCTGGGCTGTTGTTATACCCTCCTGATAACTGCAGCTGAATGAGTCTGATCTCACAGGTCTTTGGCATATATTATATTTCACCCCTGTTCTATATTTGCTCCCCTTGGGTGTGTAGATTAAATGACCCCTCAGCAAATGCCAGCAATACTCAGTGCCAAGTGTAAGGAGGATCCATGTTTTCACTCTGTCCCCTGGGCAATCTTGGTGAGCCTGTAACCTACACAGTAGAGGGCTTCAGCTTAGCTTTGCTGTGTCACCTTGCAACTATTAGTTGTTTCTGTATAGGTCTAGCTCATATTTCCATTTTTCTTTGGGTCCCACAAATCATACATCCAGTCCTACAGGCTGAAAGGTGTGGCTGATATAAGCTGGCAAAATAATGTCTCCACTCAAATCCCAGGGAGCAGAGAATAGCTGGTGGTAATTTTATTCTGATTGAAGTCTCTTGACTGTTGACTCATCTGTCTCTTGCCTATTGAGAAGTGGTTCCATTTTATGGGTAGCCAGTATGATGTATGAACAATGTAGGGAAGGGCTGAAGAAGGCATTCATTGTTCTCAGCATCTGCTCTGTGTCCAGCCCTCCCTTGTTATGGGGAACACAAAGTTACCCACATCACCCCCAGACTCAGGAAGCTCCCAGTTGGATGGGCAAGCAGGACAGAGATCTTCCTGAAACCACACTCAAATGAGGCACAAACATGTGGACCAGAGTTTCAGGGACAAGGTTCAGAAAGTGAGCTATGGTGGCTAGCCTATCAAGAAAGGTTCTGCATAAATGTAGGACTAAGCAGGGTCTTCAGTGATGTCTAGAGCTTTGAAGGAAGGAAGTCCTCAGCCCTGGATGGGGTTACATCCTATGCTTCCCCATGCCAGGTCATGCTTTTGCTGTATTGGGGGCTAAAACTAGGGCCCCGAGTATGCTAAGCAAATACTCTACCAGTGTACTACATTATTAGCTCAAGGATTACTTTCCATTTGCTCATTTGCTCATAGTAGACTGTGGATGAGTATTGCAGGTGGAGCTCTCGGGAAGCTGATAATCAAATAGACTTTCAAGTGTCTATTGAATTCCTGCAGGTATTTAAACAAATTTCTATGAAGGAAGTGGTGCAAACCAATAGAATTATATTCTCTCACATTCTTGGGGCTTATTGAGTTGATATTAGGGTAGCATAAGAGCCATGTTCCCTCTGGAGGATCTGGCAGGAGGATCCATTCCTTGCCTCTTCCAGCTTCTGGTGACTGCTGGAGGTCCTTGGCTTATAGTTGCCCTCATTCCAATCTTAACCTCTGTCTTCACATCACTGCTTCTTCTCTCTTAAAAGTGCCCCATCCCTCATATGGGGACACATTGGCTGCCATTTAAGACCTACTTAGATAATCCTGGAAAGTCCCAGGATGCTTAGCCATATCTTTTCCCATATAAGGTAATTGTCACAGTTTCTGGGGATTAAAATGTGGACATACTTTTCTGGAGCTACCATTTAGGACACTAATGGGCACAAGCTGTTTAGTCAACACATGTGAAAAGAATTCAGAGGAAAAGGTCGGGTGGTGGAAGTTAGACTATGATGCAAGCCTGGTAAAGTCTTGGTCTGATGCACTCAGAGTTTTAGAATGAAAATTACTCATCAGAGTTGTAGCCAAGTGGGCCAAATTGACTGAGACATCACATCTCACCAAGCCCAGTGACTAGGTATGAATATGCCTCAGGATGGGTGTGGCCTGGAGTGATGCCACAGAGTGACCAAAGCAGAACTTAAAGGGCTGGCGGTCAGTGCTGCCTGCTAACTGCACGCCTGCCCTGGGGAGAGAGATGTTCCTTGTAGAGGGAGGCCTGGCATCTCTGTTCTGTCTATCACAGATAGGGAGCAGCCGAGAATAAACAGATGGCAGGGAGTGGAGAGAGCACCTAGGAGGGGTCTGTGATCTTCAGTCATGATGACAAGAACAAGTCTGCTTTGTCCTCAAAATGTATGAGAAAAGGGACTTCTCAACCGGAGTCCCGATCTTGCAAAAAGCCACTAGCTGGGGAGCCATTTCCAGGCCACTCCAAAGTGTTAGGCCTTGCCTAGTAGTTAGTTTTCCTCCTTTGGCCTGCACTGTGAATGTGCACACAGTTACACAAACACATAGAGCTTGCTTTAGCTCACACAAAAATTAAATATCCCACTATCCTCCTGGGGGTACTCAGGGAGTTTTGTTCTTTGCTCTCTCTGGGGACTTGATCAAGGAGGACATAAAATGTCTTTGTCCTGATTCAGGAGGTGTCTAGGGCTCTGTTTCCTTCTGAGACTCAGCAGATCCACTCTTCAGAGTCCCAGGTCACTGGTCCAGAGAAGAGGTCTTCATGTGTCCCGTCCTTCTTGCTGTCCCCACAGATATAGGGTAGAGGGGTAAGAGGAGGGTTACTGTAAACCCCATCTTTCAACTCCCCTGGGGCTTCACTCAAAGTCACTCACAGTCTTCAGTGGAAAAACAATGTTTCTGTTGAGAGAGGCTGGCCCTGGCATGTGTGCTGGAGAGTCCTGGGGATAGTCTTATGTTCATGTGTGTCTTTGGAGAGTCTAAGGCTGTAGCCCCTTTCCTAGGTTCTGGTCAGGAGACTGGCTAGGAACACATACTGCAAGCAAGTCAGTAGGGAGAGCAGATCATGATACTGCAGGTAGGAGATGTGATCAGACTTCCTTCTCAACAGCCAGCCAGAGGATATCAGTTTTAAAGATTCTCAGGCATGACAAGCCAGTTCTTGCACCAGCTTGGCCTGTCATCCTCACTGTTGTGGTTGCCAGGGGACAAGGTCTGGAGCAGTCAAAAGGCAAGATCAAAAGGTCACCCACTATACCATAAGATAGTGTTTAAATGTGAATGAAATTAGAATTGACAGTCCAAGATGGGAGTCTGAGAATGATGGGAAAGGCAACAGGGGAATGAACTGGTAGGGAGGGTTTCAGCATTATCTCAGCAAATCACTTTCTCCCTGGGCCTCTGTTTCCCGATGTGTGCAGTGAGGCCTGTTAGCTAGGTATCCTGACCTCCAAGGTTATGATTTAGAGGTAGAAGAAAGGAGGTAGACTGAACAGTCCCCAGGAATACAGGCCTAGTAGGGAGACTAGGCAAAGGTCTAAGAGCCCTTTATGATTGTTAAGGAGGCATGTACAGAAACCCATAAGCCATGTATTTAAATATTTTAAAGGTACAGTAAAGTCACTGTTGAGGAAAATATATTCCACTGGTTGACCTTGAAAAAAATGTTTTTTTTCTTTATAATAACTTGTAAGGCCATATTTGGATGACATTTCTAGGACTCCTTAGTCTTTCACTGAAGCACATGGTGTGGAAGACAGCAGGCCCCAGTCCCAGGCTATAGCTACAACTACCAGTGGAACCTATCTGGTGCCCCCAGGCTGCTGTGCTCTGAAATCTGTCTTTGCAGCTAAGGGGAAGTCACACTTACCATAGCCTACTCTGGCTAGTCAGAACACAGGGATAATAAAAGGGATCTATTCGTGGCAGCTATGGAGCTCCTTTGGTGTATGGTCTTGTAGACACCCGGACAATCTTTCTTGCATTGCCGACCTTTTGCTGGGGGTCAACCTTTGCCTGTTTCCCTCTGTCTTGCCTCCCCCATAAGCATGTGCTCTAAGCAAACTCATGTAATCGTGTTTTGACACTTGCCTTTTAGAGGACCTGAGCAAACACATTGACCTCAGCTGTCCCCCTTCTTTTCTTATCCTTGGCTCCTTCCCACTTCCTGAGGTGACTTCTGCACATGCATAAGGAGTCCCAGGTCCTCAGAGGGTTCAGTAGCTGGTGGTGAGTGGGCACATCCCTTCTCACAGATGCAAGAGAGTAGGAATGAGAGCTTAAATTCCAGTGGCCTAAAGTCCTGCCTTCAACCTAGACCAGCCTCATGACATGTGCTTCTGGAATACATGTTTTGTAGGTCACGACTATATGTCTGGGCCCCTCACATCTGTTTTCTTTAACTTGTGAAAGCCTGGTAGAGTACAGAGAAAGTGGAGGTTCAAAGACATGGCACATTCACACCTGGGTCTTCCTGTGCTCACCTCCTGACTCTGCCACGGTGTCCTAACCAGTGGTGTCAATTATGCAGTGTCAGAGGTTTTTTTCACTAGTTTCGAGTGTTTCTTAGGAAAGGAATATACTTCAATGTTTAAAATGTTTAAAATTGCTTCTTCCAATTTGGCATCAATTCAACCAGGGACATGAAAGAGCCTGTGGATTGTCCCCCCCGGGCTCGTTAGGTCCCAGCTGCTTAGAACCTGTCATTATACTTGCAGTCTGGGTAGCGGTAGGCAAATCTAGGATCGCAGGTTCTCAGTGGTCTCAAGATGTCCTTCAGCTGGCTGGTGGCCCCCAACACTTCCACATCTGTGCTAGCATCTTTGCCACACAGGCTGAGAGCAGACTCTATTTCCTCTTGCACAGGGGAGGGAAACTTTCCCCGGAGAAGTTGAGGCAGCAACTGTTGACACACCAGCACCAGGCTTTGCTTCTCAGAGACAGTGTCACAGGAGGACAGCTGGACCTGGCAGCCAGAAACCAGGCAGCTAAAAATGTCTTCCTTCTCTCCAGTCCTGGCAGCTGCTTGACTGCCTAGGAGAGAAATGGGAAATATCAGATACTGTACAACCTACTCTTGTGGAGGAGGGGATGGGGAGGGAAGGGAGATGGGGAGGGAGGACTGCCAATTAGAACTGCTCAGGGAAGTGCTTTAATCTCCAAGCATTGCCCTGTCACCAGAAGATTTAGGGCTCAGGAACACAACAGCCCCCTTGGAGAACAGCACTGAGTAACAATGTCCTACAATTAGGCTAAGGCCCAAGCTTGGGAAACCCACTTGTGCCTACCAGAAGCTGGTCTCTAATTGTAGAAATTATAAGCACACTGTTACTTTCCTGTTATTACTGAATTAGGGAAGTGAGGATGGTATTAGGATTGGTCTCATTGCACATTTAGGATAGAAAGTCAGGCAGGAAAACATGCCATCCAGAACATGCATTCAGTAGGTTGCAATGGGACTGATGTTGGCATAGCCTGAATATTCTGGAACCAACCTTTCTTCTAATTTCATTCTTCTTAATAAAGGCAAATCAGGAAGTGAGGAAAAGGTTTGTTTTCTCTATCTTTGCAGAATTTGTTAAAAAAAAGTGTCAGAAATGGGAAAATCTTTTGTCCTATTATTGGGCTCAGCAAATTTAGTAACCTTGAGAAACTGGGGCTTAATGGTCTCTAGAACACTAGCTGAGCCTTTGTCAACAGCGAGAGACGTGACTTGCTCACACACCTCATTCGGTTTCTTGTTTTTCAATCTTTACAGAGTCAGTATGTCAACACTCACTGCAAAGTGTACTAGTGCATCAGGCCAGCAATTATGTCTTAGATCAAGGCTAAGAGCATCTGACAAGGAAGGCTCTGAGGGGGAGAGGGGCCTGCGACTTGTATGTGAATGTGATTCAGAATTGCCCTGGGAAGGTTCATGGGAGTCCATACCACCATGGACAATGACCCTTACAGGCAAGGCCAAGTTCACTTTCCCTTCAGAAATGAAGATGAAACAGAAATTCAGATGGGCATGAGGGGACATTGTTCTTTGTTCCTAAAACTTGGATTTCTCTGTGACATACAGAGTACAAAGGCCCAGGTCACCTCTCCTTAGCTTTGGTCATCCTGACATCCCCTTGACAGATGCTTAGTCAAGCCCATGCTGAGTACCTTCCTGCTTGTCGATGATGCCTAGTGCACTGGCATCGCGGATGAACAGATGCCCATTGTCAAAGATGCCAAACATGTCTGCATCAACATGGGTGAAGTAGAAGAAATAGTTCAAATCATTGCTCCTCAGGGACTCCAGGACCCCAAGGAGTTGGTAGGCAAGGTCAGCAGCTTGCTCTGGAGGTGCATCGTAAAATTCTTGCAGTGGTCTGGTGCTCGTACTGATCAGAAATCTACCACAGGAGCCCAGGTACTTGGGCAGTGGCCAGCCCTCCGCCCCGGGGAAGATCTGCCAAGCCAGAAGGATCAGGCATTAGACACAGAGAAATCTCACATAGGCAGCTTGTTTTCTACCTCTTGCCCACAGCCCACACAAATAAGTCTTACTGCCAGCCTGGCTCTCAAAACATTCTGGCAAAACATTTCTCCATCTTTTTATACCTTTTGGGACATGGTAAGGCCCCTGTCTTTCTCCCACTTTTGTAGTGTATTGCTAATGGAAGGATTTAGGAAGGAGGCTGCTCTCATTAGTGCAGTGTATTAGATTTTACAAGTTTCTCTAAGTGGGAGCTGAGAATGCTAACCAACCTTTCATGATTTTCTGTGGTATCCAGGATTCAAGTTATATCATTAAAAATATGATTAGTCTGCACTTTCCAAGATACCACTGCTTAGGAAGAGACCATGGAAAAAATAACAAAACATTAACTTCAGGGCAACTGAAAGACAAATAAAAATAATAATAGTAAAAACATTACAAACAGGGTATCATGTGTGTCTTTAGTTCCAGCTGTTCAGGAGGACGAGGCGGGAGGGTTGACATCAGTTTAGTCAACAGAGCTTATAAATAAATGAATGAATAAATAGAACAATGCAAGTGCCTGGTTCTGGGATAGGACAAGAATAATGCAGGTGGTTGTCCCCACTGCTAGGCTGAGCAAATCTGCCTGGCTCAGATAACTGCACACTCAAAGATTCTTCTCCACTGGTGGGAAGCATAGCCCAGTCTGTCTCCTTGTAAAAGCTCTCAACTTGTGGATTTGGGAGATAGAAAGTGAGGAGGGAACTCTAGCTGGATTTTTCTTGACCATTTTTTTTTAAAAAATAGGTCTTTTGCATTTTTTTGTTTTTGTGCTTCATAAATGAACCCTGCATCTCTATCACTCTCATCCCTCCCTTCCTAACTCCTGTGTCCCCCCTTTTTTTCAAAATTCATGATCTGTTCTTTATTACTGCTACTCATAGATACATATATAATCACACGTATATATACTATCTACCGAGTCCATTTAGTGTTACTCATATGTATATGTGACCAGAGCTGGCCATTTGGAATTGGACAATTTATGTGGGTTTTTGTCCATGGAGAAGACTGATCCTCTTTCTCTCAGTAACCACTGGCCACCTGTATTCATCTGTTGGTACGACCATGTGGTATATTCCCTGTCCATGTTAGAATCTCAACTGTTGATCATTTTTTCAATGAAGTTGTGTCTAGAACCGATAACAAAAACTATGAACACCTCTTTCCCCTTTGTTTATCTTTTTAAGAAAACAAAGTAAGTCTGGGTGATGCATTTTAGTAGCAGACTGCTTATCTGGCACACACAAGGTTCTGGGTCCCATCCCCAGAACTACAGAAAATAAAACAAAAAGTAGATTTCAAAGTTTCTCTCTCTCTCTCTCTCTCTCTCTCTCTCTCTCTCTCTCTCTCTCTCTCTCTCCCTCTCTCTCTCTCTCTCTCTTAATTTTCTGGTATCTTCTACCCCTTATACGTCACATTATAAAGAATCATGCTCTTTGCTCTTTGAGCTTTCCGTAACTGGGGAACCTTACATATTATGTGTCTCCAGGGGACAACCTGGACCCACTGCCCTTGTTTAAATGTACAAAGCCACTCTTTAGTCTCATACTGTACTCTTTCTGTATAAAGACCAGGGTTGAGTGGAGTGTCCCAGGTCAAGTCTCTCAGGAGCCAGACCTTAGGGTAATCAAGATGCCAACAAAAGTTAGAACTGTGAGTAACAGACCTCCAAGAAGATCCCTGAGCATGTAGGGCAAATAGCAGCTCCTTCTCTGCCACTAGTATGTCAAATAGCAAAGACACTGGGCAGGGTTTAGTGGGTAGAGTACAGCGTCTCTTGTCTCTGATGTCAGACATCTTTGGGTTTACATTTCATGGCTGATAGTGGCTAAGACACTTCTTTTTTTCTGAGCCCCAATGGGAAACATAATATCATTCTGGGGGGCTTGTAGTGGGAACTAACAATAGAGCAAATCTTCAGCACAACACCTGGCATGCAGCAAGAATCCAATAACCTTCAACAGTCTTCATTGTGTAGTCAACCATTAACTTTTTGGCAAATATTTAGGAACTGTCTTTGTTGTGGTTCTTTTTTCTCTACCCATGTTTTTATATTATGGTATTTTAAAAGATGATTTCATTATACAGCCTATACCACTATGTCCAGCTTTCTTTCTTCCTTTCCTCCCTTCCCCTTACTATTCTCTCTCCCTCCTCCTCTCTGACCCACTCCTCCACCTTTTAGTCTTCTTTCACCCCCTTCTCCTCCCCTCTGACTTTTGGTATCTTTTCTGTTCATTATGTGACTTAGGTGTCCTTGTCTTGACCCTTGGTCTGGGGAATTTAGCTCCACAAGTTCTATGGATGTCTGTTAACATAGTAAGTGTCTCTATCTTTTTGACTAAGTGTGTCCCCAGGTCCCAGTACATCCTCATTTTTTGACCATTTTTCAATTACGTCACTTTCAGGTTTTTTTTTCTCCTTTCCAAACCAGCTTCAAAGTGCATCTCTGGGTGGCTGTTTCACTAGTCCCTGAGCTTACTTAAATCTTATTTATCACTACTTAGTGGCAGAGATTAAATTTGCCTCCCTTCACAAAGCCCTTCCTGGCTGCCTCAACTTGTATAGTTGGCTGCTGTTCCCTGCTACTCACATCTCCAGCTCTTCTCTTTCCTCACCAGCTGCCAAGACAGTCAAACACTTACCAGATGTTGCAAATGTACTAATACAGACTTGTGGCCCCAAGACATGAAGCAAGAAGAGGAGGAAAAAAAAATCAACCTAGGGATGGCCTCTGAAAGTCCAAGGTGGTGACATAACCTGGAGGACTTGTGGGGGTCACTGAGTACCTGAAGAATGATGGGGTGTGCATTGACAGACAGTGTATAGAGGAGGCGCAGCTTGTCACGGTCGGTGAAGTGGTCCATGAAGATGCTGCCAGCGTCAGCCACTTCAGCATAGCGTCTAACCACACGATCCAAGAGTCTTTGTGAAGGACAGCGCAGGAAGGGACTGGGCAGGCCCTGCAGACACATGAGAGCGACCCAGAATGGGGAGGAGTTTTTTCTCCCTTCTTTCCTTCCTTCCTTCCTTCCTTCCTTCCTTCCTTCCTTCCTTCCTTCCTCCCTCCCTCCCTCCCTCCCTCCCTCCCTCCCTTCTTTCCTTCCTTTTACATACTAATCACAGTTTCCCCTTCCACCTCTCCTCCTGTTCCCCCCTCATCTCCTTTCTACCCCCCAGTCCACTCTTCAGAAAGGGTAAGGCCACCTATGGAAGACAACAAAACATGGCATATCAAGTTGAGTCAGGACCAAGCTCCTCCCCACTGCATCAAGGCTGAGTGAGGCATGCCACCATATGAAATAGGTCTCAAATAGTCAAGCTGCTGGACTCTTGTAAGGGACACGGACATCGGATTAGGAGTCCAGATGGATGGTGGAGGAAAGATCCATGGGTGGTTAAGGAGGATCCTGAGCAAGAGGATGGAGACTCTTGGGTGGAGCACCGAGGATGGAACACTCCTGCAGGTTGGGGCAGGAGATGGCACAGTGGGCTATGCAGGAATTGGGGCACTGGGGGTGTGGAGACCAGCTCTGCCTCTCTGCCTCTCTGAAAGTTTGAAGCTCTCTTTCTTTCTTTCTTTCTTTCTTTCTTTCTTTCTTTCTTTCTTTCTTTCTTTCTTTCTTTCTTTCTTTCTTTCTTTCTTTCTCTCTCTCTTTCTTTATTTTTCTTTTCTTCTTCTTCTTCTTCTTCTTCTTCTTCTTCTTCTTCTTCTTCTTCTTCTTCTTCTTCTTCTTCTTCTTCTTTGGCTCCCACACAGCAAGGATAGCTTCAAAAGAGAATCAATAGTACCAGCTGTATGTGCTGTCCATGTGCTTCTAGTGGAAGCTCCTTTCCCATGGCTGCCTGCTTAGAGAAGGAAGATAAGGCTGTCTTTGATGGATACAGAAGGTCCAATGTAAGGACTCTTCTTAGTGGGGCAGTTGATAAAGTTAGCTCATTACCCAGACTTCCTCTGAGGATTTAGATTTGGAGATCTATCTGAGAAAGATGGTCTATGATAGAACTATGAAGAAAGTAAGAGATGTGAACCAAAGTGATTGGGGACTTATGAAAGAAAATTTAGAATAAAAAATACAACATTGTTTCATTCTAGAGCCCGAGGCCTATAAGCTGCCATATTAAATTCTAAGTCAGAGATGGTGCTGTGATTTGACTTTGTCCCTCAAATCTCATGATCAGAACTTTAATTCCCAAAGTCATAGGATTTTGGTATTTGGAGGCAGGATCTTTGAGTGGTAATTAGGACTGGATAAAGTCAAGAGGGTAGTCCTAATAATGGCATTAGTGGCTTTTTAAGAAGAGGAAGAGAGCCGGGCGGTGGTGGCACACGCCTTTAATCCCAGCACTCGGGAGGCAGAGGCAGGCGGATCTCTGTGAGTTCAAGGCCAGCCTGGGC